TTTAATAGTTTTCTGACCAAATCGTATACGTTCTTTCAGAATCTGTGATCAAAAACGAATTTTGAAATTGAGGAGGTGGAAAGTATGTCAGAAAAACGCGGTTTTCTCACGGACTGTCTCTTAAGTTGCTCTAAGTGAAATCATTTTTAAGCTCTAGTCTGTTTGTTTTTTGATTATTTTGGTAAAAAACTGCAAATGGAACTACGTTCAGATTATCTGCTGAAATTTGATTTTTTGCTTGTTTACGTTGAGAACATACATAGTAATTATTTGTTCGAGAAAAACAGCTTTTGTTATTTTTAGATACAGTAGATCTAAAAAGACCACAAAACCAAAATGATGTCGAAAATTCATTTGTTAGAAGATAAATCCAATTATTTTTTATTTTCTCATTCTAGTTATCCGGTCTATTGAAAAAAATTGAGAAGAACGACATTGATTTTCGTGATACGAAATCACACTATGAAAATTTATTTGCTGAACAAGTGAATAATGTTAAAAGGTTAGTTAAAGAACGTGAACTACTGAATTTATACATAAAACGATTGGAAACAGAAAATCATACGTTAACAACAATAAACACGGATGAAACAACGCGATTACTTGCACACACTGTACAATCACCAACAACAATCGAAGTATGTCATCTTAAACATATCTGTTAATACTAGTATACATTCTTGTTAAATTTTCAGGAAGCATGGGGATTACTACAAAAACTACGTGAACAAGTTATCAATCAATTAAAAGTTGAACATAAACTTCGAAATGATTTACAATTACTTCATAATAATTATAAAGCCGACATTCGAGAACGTGAACAAATAGAAAATTTACTCAATCGAGATTTGAATACAGCAAAAGATGAAATAATTGTATTACAAAGTATTCAAACAGAATATGAACGTATTACAGGACTGAAAAATGATCTAGAAAAACAACTGGATGATAAATTAAATGAATTAAATATAACAAAAACTGTTGCTACAGCACTCACAAATCAATTGAAAGAAAAACTAGATTTATTAAGTAAAACAAAATCAAAAATTGAAGAAGAAAATGTTTCATTACGTGTTCAGATACAAAAAATGAAAATTGATCTTGATAATAGTGAATTAGTCCAACGAGATTTTGTGAAATTATCTCAATCATTACAAGTAAATCAGTCAGTAATAATTTGTGATTAGAGATTATTATAGGATGTATATTCTGTTTTAAGGTTCAATTGGAAATTATTAGAGAATCTGAGCATGTATTGCGGTGGCATAATGAAGAAGATTATCATGAATGTATGAATTGTAAAACGCCGTTTACAGTCACTTGGAGAAAGGTAAGTCGTTTCATATTTTGATGGTAATGAGTCGATAAAAGCCAATTCATCTAGCGCGCTCGGGCACTAAAATTCATGCAATACAAAACTTTCATATCCCTTAGTTCCTTAAATTTTATTAGTTTCCTTAAGTCCATTTAATACAATGTGAATGTCTTACGTTTTACTTAATATATTTCTTTCTCTTTTTTTAGCATCATTGCAGGTACGTTTTGCTGCTCCATTTTTCTAACTTTTATTTAATATGATTTTTCTTTTAGACATTGTGGGAAAGTGTTGTGTAAAGACTGTACTAATAAAACAGTTTATACTGGACCAAATAATCGAGCATCTCGTGTATGTGACATCTGTTATACACTGCTGGTAAAAGATTCTCAACCATATTTTCATTCAACTGTTCCAGAAACATGAACAAATTCGATATTTTTATGCTCTATGCTTATATAAGCATTAAAAAAGTTTGTTCTCTTTATATTTATAAATGTTAGCCAGTTATGGATCCAGGTTTATTCTCAGACATCAGAAGGGAATCTGATTAAAAGTGAAGTATTAGAATTCTATTCAATGGCATCCTCGTGAAGTTAGTCGCTAAGAAACTTGTTTTTGTTACTGTTACCTTTCTTCTTCTATTCTATCTAACTGCCAAGATGTATTTCAAATGTATTCTACCATATTATTGTTCGTTTTTCTCATTGATGGTACACATTTTTACATCTATTTACTTTTGTTGGTGAATGTTTATCTGTTTGTATTTTACTGGCGAATAGGTATAAAAGGCTGTTTGTTTTGTACATATACAGAATAAAATGTTCATCAAATTTTTTTATACTCGAACAAGAACAAAAAAAATGACTTTTTTTAATGTTTAGTCAAAAACGTTTTGTTGTTCGTTCATTTGACAAAAGTTATTTTTAATATCTTTATTCGTTAGGGTTTCTTCTGAACATTTTTTCGTAATATTTTTAGCAAATGGCTATATCATTTTAACCTCTTTCATTTGCTCCATTTATAAACATTACATGTTCAAATTTTCTGAATCGTAAAAGTTCGACAAAAACAATTTTGATCTAATGTCGTTCTTATACGCTGATGAACTATCGCCAGTATCCTCTCTAGTAACATTAATAATAAAATAAAACCGTAATCAAAATAGTGATTTTATTGGTTGTACCACATGGATGATTGCCTAAGAGAAGATCATGGAATCCTAAAGCCTTTAAATGTTAAGACATTGTAAGTGGTAAATGCACGCCGTTTTCGTAAATCATTCGCACTGTTTGTTTGTGATGGATTATTTGTTTAAGTATTTCTAAATACATAGGACCCGAATCAGTTGATAAAAAGGAAGATATTATGGCTGAGGAGTATTAAAATTAGATTCTCAATGAAAATAACTTTTCATGAAATTTTGGTTAAAGAATTTTGGTTATAGAAATTAGAAACTATTTTTTCCGATAAAGTTACACAATATTTTGGTGCAGAAATGAAGTATATTAATAATAATATATTATTCAATCAAAATTTATTCAGGCGAAAAACGTCTTACAAGATGTGATGTTTTCTTATAGGATCTTGCGATACGATCATGTAATAAAACCTTATAAGATAAGTGTATATGAATTATTACGGTTTTGCATGATCATACGATAAGAAGTTGCACGATCTTTTGAGTCCTTGCAGCAGCAGCCACTGGTGTCAAGTCTAGATATTTGCCATAAGATCTTACAATATAGGATAAGAACACGTAAAATCCAGTTATGATGGCTCATCTGTACAATACAAAGTTTGCAACGATAAATAGCATATAAATGTAAATGTATAACATCCTTCTTATGAATAAACCAAAAAATTTTCTTTTTCTTCAACTGCACAGATCACCTAAGCACAAAATAAAGTACATGGCTTAGGAGCATGACTAAACATGATCCTATGACTTCAGAATCCTACCTAAACTAGGAAATATCAAAACAAGAAAAACAAATAATGTTGGTCAAATATATAAAATTTAATAAAGAAACTTTGTTACAGGTCTCGCACAGACAGTCATAGTGCAACTTTGAAACTCAAAGGCGATCGTGGTAAGGAACGTTGTGCTCGATTCTTATTTTTATGCATACGAATTTGTTGTGATTGCGTTCCGAAAAATTATTACTAAATGTTCTCTGAATAGATGTGTGCTTAAAGAGCAAAAAAAGATTTAAAAATGGATAATCCTTCTTGAATCAGTAAGCTTTACTTAAATCACCTCTGGAATCGGAAAACTTTAATTATCTGTAACTTGTCTGATTTTTGTACGTTTATTATGATTGATATAATTAAATTATTTATTACATGGAAGTTAGGGGTAAGTCGCTAATATCAATGTGTGTTTAGGTTGATTGTACGACCTTATATTACGATTTAACCTTTAATGCTCGTAAATGTCCGTACGTTTAAAGTGTCGATGTCATTTTCATTTTAGTTTATTTCGACCGGGTATTCTCACCAATAGCCTTGTTAAAGTGACATCTATTCACCGCTGATCGCCCGTTTCTTGTGATAACAAACTTAGTTATTCACTCAGTCGATGCGAAACTTAAAGTGCATTTGCGTTCTGTTATTAAGACATACGAGTGATCACAATTTCGTACTGTTCTCGCATTGGCTGATAAAATATGGAGGCTGGAACAACGGCGCTTTCTTTCTTTCTTTCATGCAGTAGAGAGACAATAGCCTTTTGTCCACTGGCAAGACACAATGACCGCGGAAGTTATTTCGCGTTGTTTTCTCTGTAAACAAGTTATTTTAAAAAGCTTTTCGAAACTTATCGTTGTAGTTGAAGGAACAATTGTCATCGCTCTTAGTTTTTGCTTTTTGTTCCTATATGCGTGAAACAAAAGGAGACGTGTTGCTTTTCACCAGAAAGAGTTCTTTTGTTTTGTAGACTCAATGATTTTATCTGCGTTATTCTTTACCGTACACAGCGATTTGGGGGTAAAGTGGATCCTAATCTCGAACAACTGCAAATTAATCATTTGAACTAGTTTTTTTATAAATTTCTTAGTTCACTTTCAGTAGTCGATATAAGCTTTATTCTGTCAGAATACATTCCATTATAGTATTCTAAACTAAAACTATCGATAATCAGTTACTCTCGCAAGATCAGAATATTTTTAAAAGCCGTTTTGGTTTTCTCGAGATAATTGATAGTTACGTGTTTTTTACAATATTAACATATATAGTGTATGTAGTAATTACCTAAGAATGTGAAAATGCTGAAGATTGCAATACAAGCTTAAGGAAGTTTCATATAGGTAAGCCGAATATGACATCATATGTACAACGACTATCTAATTAGCAAAAAATCCTACTTAATATTGCCGAGACAATAGTCTAGTGAATATATTTGGGATAAATGCTTTGCTTGAGCAATGAAGCCGGTATTGATCTTTCTTCGAGAAGTAAATTCACCTGTAAGTCTTACCTCGCGCTTGTCAAGTAAAACTGCAAGTGTTTTCACAAAGTACTTCGTAGCAACAAAACTAAGCATTGGAACCTGAAGGAAGTATCTGTAAAAGTACACGACAAATGAGTAATTTCGAAAACAATTGTTAATTTTTGAACTACTTACCGAGTGATCATGTATATATAAACAAGTACGTTCACTAAGACATTCGAACATCTATTCTCATTTGAGAATTGAGAGAAAAGAAATGTTTCATAGATGTTTCAAGTTTACTTACTGTTAAACATTAACTGTAAAACATAAAAGAAGTCATTTTTCGCTTCTTAAATTATGTTAAAATCTCCTACCTTGGACGTGATATTTATGTGAGTACTTTCCTTTTTTGAAGGTTTTTTCAAAGCACATTTGATTAGAGAGTTAGAGTAGAGGAGTTTGAAAAACTTAATGCGTCCACTTGTATCTTGATTCTATTACCATCGTTGACGAAAGGGATTATTTATTGTGAAATGAAAATTTGTTAATATCGTTTCTTTAAACTCCTTACTCGTATTTCAGATTTGAACTCTATTACTTTAAGATGCCACTCTACACAATTGCATTTTAATTTTGTGGTTTGAGAATGTCGCCGAGAAAAACATGTCAATTATCGACCGCGAATGGATATAACTGGTATGCTTAATTCGATTTGCAAATACCCTCCCATCTCTGCAAGATTCAGTTGAGTGCTACATAGAAGATTCTCTGTAGCATATTAAACTAGTTCAAATCAGTCTACGCTGCTGTCTATCATTTTTTTAGTAATTTATCAAAAGGTGCCATACGTGTTCAAAGTGTGCCCTACAAAAAATCAGTTGAAGTCAAACCAACGATAGAGGAGAATGTAAATGATGTGCGAATTAGACTACACTTGAAAGAGTTGTTAAACAATGCTGTATTTTTAGTTTGAATTGTCGAACAATACTTGCTCAAATGACATCGTTCTCAATAATCTCCAACAAATTTCAAGTGGTAAAACCGTGGTTGTTAATGATGAAGATCAGCTTTGTTTCGATAAATTTGTTTCGAAGTTTTCCATTGTCGGTGCGTTAATCTCAGTCTCATCTTCTGAGTCCACTAAACTTTATTCTACCTCATTTTGCTTTAGCTGATTCATCGATCACAAATAGAGTGAGTCAAAGCATGTTATCGCGTGATGCTCTTTCGAAATAATTTTCTAATCATTCTTTTTCGTTTTCTGACAGACACGCACACCGCTGAAATTGCTTGGTCCCGATGAAATTCCACTGATTCCTGATGCTCCAACGAACAGAGCACCAAGTCTTCAACCCGTCTGGTATAGTGAACAAACACTAATTGACAATGAAGAAGTAGAAGAAGAGCAAGCATCGACAATGACTTTCGGTCAACGTCAGTCAAGTCAAAGACGTCAAACAATAAAACCGGAGCAACCAATTTTAACAGGAGTTCGAAGTGCTCAGAATGAAGATGAATACTTGATAAAAATCACAATAACCACGCCTACCATTTCATCATCGTCACATTGTTCATCACCAACAACAGTCTCATCAAATTCAATGTTGAATGATTCCAGTAAAGAAAATCGTAATCTACCGATGGTATTAGAAGCCGAGCCGGCAGTATGTGTTCAACAAGTCAGTCAACATGAAGATTCGTTCTCGAGATTAGAAAAGCAATTTAATGAAGAATGTTTTGGTTCGTTGAATGATCGAACGTCTCATTGTGCTGTGTTAAAACCAGTCGGAAGCGAAGTGAGCACGGTATGATGTTCGTTACTTGAACTTTCTCTTCATTTGTCGTTGTTTAGGAGATGTCACTGTTGACACGATCCCAAACCTATTCCGTATTTCCTTCGATAGAACATGATATTTTAACAGCATCTGATTTTGATAAATCAACCGTCAAAAACGAGAAACAGCTTTCTACCACTTCTTTGTCACTTGCATTCGATTCAAGATGGTCGCAAAGTATTGAATTGTTGACAACTGCCACATGTGAGCAACAAAAGGAAGAAGAGCTGAATGGTACGTTTCTCTCGTCCCAAACACCCTATTCATGTCTGCTCTTGTTGTAGAAGGAAAAGAAGAGATGCCATGTTCTTCGTATAATCATCTGACGCCAATAAATAGCAATGACGCATTACAATTGACAGCAATAACACCAGCAGACATTATCAATACCTGGACAACATCTACCCTGGCCTACACTTCGCCCAGAAAAATGTTTGCACAAACACTAGAAGCAATAGTGTCAATGAAAACTGGAGATGAACAAGCAAAGTCAACTTCATTAGTTGTTTGTAATACTGAAGAAGATAACGATAAGACGACGACAAGGATTAGTTATATGCCGACGTTGAATTCGCTTACAACACAGAATCTTGATGGAGTGGATAATTCATGTGATATTAGTCATAACTCAGAGAAAGTCAGTGGTGAAGCCAATCAACAAATCAATTTGTCATTGAATGATGATCAGAATCTAATTCAGCATATAGTCCCCTTCTCACACAAAAATGATAAGAATGAAAGTAGCTATCATGACAATGAAAATACACAAGAGAAAAGCGATGATGAGTCGTTGAATATTATCCAAACAATTGATAGTGAATTATTAATGCGATCAGAACAAAATGACAAAGAAGAAGAAGATGGAGAAGATGATGCAAATTTCTCGTTTGAGCTTGAACAATTTCCAAGCAGTGCTCAGAGTCCTAATAGTGCTGATCAGCAACAACAGCGTCAGTCGTCTCTATCATTACCGCCTGCGATGTGTGAGCGACCACCAACATGCGCAGATGTGGCTTATCGTGCTTTATTAAAGCAACCAACACCACGGACATCGCTTGTAACCAATTCAATGTCACCATTAGCTAGACTATGTAAGTATAGTTTTGTTTCGAATGAGAGTGCTGTGAGAAGTAGTTCTCATGTTGAATTCTCTGGCTATTCAAAACCGCTATGAAATCTTCAGTCTAACGATTACTCTTT